GGCTGACCACGAATCACGTACCATACTCGACGTAAAGATTGATATAAATCTGCTGTAAAGCAACTCGCATGCTCGGACTCTTGACATCCGTGAGCATGACAAACTTGATATTCGTGGGAGTTTCGTAGTAGTGAAGCTTGTATTGGCTGGTGCGATAAGTGACGAAGCTAGGTGTACAAGTATTCGTCAATTAAGAATTCAAATTCGATAGAAGCAGCTCAATGGCTATATTCTCACCTGTCATCCTCGCCTCCCAACTTGCGCACCATGTTTCGAAGGGAAAAAACAGTACCGAAAATCAGCTTCGCATCGTCGTCGGTCGTACGCGCAGATTGGCCAAAAACAGAGGGGACACCATTCTGAGTAGCCACTTCAGAAGTCGGTCGCGACGATTTACCGACTATAGAGGCCGGACGGGGAAGCCATCGCCTCTTATAAATGCACTCGGCTAGAAGCGTGCAAAGGGGCAGATCAGCTACTGTGTTTGTTTACAATAGAAAAGGGAGATTATTACCGTGGCGGTCGAAGATATAGAACGAATAGACGACCATTTCACCGGATGTATATCGACAACGACGACCAGAATACTGAGAGAGCAAAATAATGCAGCGGATCTCAAGCCGTGGAAATTAACTCAACAACGATGGTGATGAGTAACAATAAGAGCGGTTCAATTAGGCTCGTCGAGACAAGAATGCTCGTGGGCGGTGAGAAACCACTTCCCCTCTCTCTTCTCTCGAAAAGGTGTCAATTCACCAACCCTTTTGCTCCCTCATCCCACTCGAATTATTTGCTCCGTACTGTGGAACAAGATAGCCTGATGGGCAATATTTAGCAAGTTGGCCACATTTCTTCTTCTTACGCGGGCCTTTTAGTTACTCTCGTTTCAGTCACTTTCTGACCTGTCATCGGAACTTCGACTCTTCCCCGATATTCCCCACATTCGGCTTAGGCACCCAGGTTTATTATTAGTGCAATAATACTCAGCATTTCACGCTTGAAGGAATACAGTTCTGCTAGACATAATTCATCCCACTCAATTGGCTTTTGAACACTTTTGAGGTCCATTCGATGGCCGACGAAATTGCTGCACCCAAGCACAAGGATATCCTCAACGCCATGAATGACCGTCCCAAACCCAAGCCTAGCCGTTACGCGTGAGTCGAACTATATACTCCCGGCTTCGTCATTCATTTCTAGACGCCACTGCGCTCGATTATCCTGCATATCTTCTCATCCAATTTGCAAGTGTTCATTGCTGAGTAGATCCTGGCATTAGTTCCACGCCTTCCTCTGAAAGCCCGCAGAGGCACTATCGCCGAAATCCGAAAGTCCGACGTCCAGTGAAGGTTATTATCACTCGATCACTTTTTTGCTGCGTCCGATTGACTAATTCATTGGAGGCAGGAAACCCTGAATGCTCGCTCCGAGTATACGACGAGCCAAGATGATGGGACTGCCGAACACAGGATCAATCAATATGTTATAAAGCAGGAGATTGGCAGAGGATCCTTCGGTGCAGTTCACCTCGCAGTTGATCAATATGGGAATGAATTTGTAAGGCGACTGTCCTTCTGATGCGTAAGCCGGTTTGCTGTATGTGAGATGGACGCTATGCTAACAAAAGGTGTGTTTCCACAGGCCGTCAAGGAGTTCTCTAAATCACGACTAAGGAAACGCGCCCAATCACATCTTCTCCGCAGACCTCGAGGCCCTAAACGACCATCGGATGGCTTCAACTCTCCTCTACATCGTCATCCGTCGGGGAATGAGGACGAGCACGGCAAGAACCCACTTTATCTCATCAAGGAAGAGATCGCCATCATGAAGAAGCTGAACCACAGCAACCTGGTGTCTTTGATTGAAGTCTTAGATGATCCCACAGAGGACTCCCTATATATGGTGATGGAAATGTGTAAAAAGGGCGTAATCATGAAGGTTGGACTGGAAGAAAGGGCCGACCCTTACAGTGATGAACAATGTCGCTGCTGGTTCCGCGACTTGATTTTGGGAATTGAATATTTACATGGCCAGGGTATCGTGCATCGAGATATCAAACCAGACAACTGTTTATTGACGAATGATGATGTTCTCAAGATTGTTGATTTTGGAGTATCCGAAATGTTTGAGAAGGATTCGGATATGTTCACAGCCAAATCGGCTGGCTCGCCTGCCTTTCTTCCGCCGGAGCTGTGTGTGGTAAAGCATGGCGATGTCTCGGGAAGAGCAGCAGATATCTGGTCTATGGGTGTTACTCTCTACTGTCTCCGCTATGGGAGGCTGCCATTTGAGAAGCAAAGCATCTTCGAACTCTATGAAGCCATCAAAAACGACCCCGTTGTATGCGAAGAGGAAACGGATGACAACTTCAAAGACTTGATATTGCGGATACTGGAGAAGGATCCGAGCAAAAGGATCACAATGAGAGAGTTGCGAGTGAGTTGTTTCCTGCTGTATATCAACAGCAACACGTGTCTCATGGAATAGTCCAGGCGCATCCCTGGGTGACAAGAAACGGCTCCGACCTTCTCTTGCCTGAGGAGGAGAATATTGCGGAGATAGTGGAGTCCCCAACTGAGGAGGAAATGAATACTGCTATAACAAGGAATGTGGGCCACATTATGGCTGTGGTATGTCTTTGTGCCCTAACGCTACTCTGTCTTCCCACGCAATCAGCTGACATAAAAGCTGCAGATGAAAGCTGCGAAACGTTTCAAACGGCTTCTAGGTCCAGCTAAAGCCGAGCCAGTGATGCAAAGTATACTCGGCCAGGAGTATGAGAGTCATTTTGTGGAGCCGCCGCTCGAGATGGACCCGGAAGAGAGCGTCTCGGCCAGCGACACTCTCATGGGCAACAAAAGCCAGAGTGTAACTTCATACAATAGGAAGCCCTGGGAACGTGAGAACGTTCTGAAAGGTTATCATCAGAAGCGAGAAAAATCACTCGAAATTAGTGATTCAGCCGGCAAGTATACTACCCAACAAGACCCTGTGCTAGGCAGCTCAACCGAACGTTCTGCGGGCATTACACCGGAGAGACAAGATTCAGGCTCTATCTCCAGCTACAAGCCTCGCACCAGCTCGGTCGACGATCTACAGGCGACTTTCTCTCGTCAGTCCCCTTTCCCCCAGAAAACGCTGTCGCGGGCCAGTTCGGCTACAACAAAGCGCAGCGTCGAGGGTACCAGGGGCCACGCTCGGGATCCTTTAGAAGAGGCATTCCCATACCTCTTTATTGGTCCATCCACCTACACGGGGTCGGCTCTGGAAGGAGGACATGATACCGATATGGAGCGTATCGCCGACCAATCGGAAACTCTACTGTCAGACGAGCCCCTAGAGACGAGTCTAGCAGGGAATGAGGTCATCCCTATAGTGAGCGAGTCACCAGGTGCTGCTGAATTCGACATTTATGAAACAGCGTATCGACAGGAGATCGCTCGAATCCGTAAACTCACTCTGGCTCGTGAAGGTACTCTACCCAAAGTGTACTTAACTCGGCGCGTTGAAGACAAAGACGAGGTCTTAAGGCTTGTCGAGGACGGGTCTCTTGGGACGAACCACGAAACTGCTGCTTGCGAAGCAGATACAGTTATTGGTGAGAAGATCACGGCGCCGTCCAGCCCGCGCTCTGGAGTGAGCATGATAAAAACTCAGCTGGATGAGCAACTCAAGTTAGAAGCAAATGGAGCCCATGCTCAAGAACAGCTGTCTGCACCTGCCACCATGGCAGATCACGAGCCTGACACTGCCACTAAATCGACGGCTACGGGAGGCTCGTTGACGTCGTCGCCGGAAAACGCGAAAGGCAAGTTGAAGAACCTCTTAGATCGTGTCAGGGGCAATCACAGCCCTTGAGATATCGAAGATTGAGTTGTTGAAGCCGACTGCAATCGGCACCGTCGGAAGATTGTTCTTCGATGTGGTGCTCCGCTAGGCATATTTCTCTACGCTAACTATATGTGTTGAGATGAATGATCTATTGCCGGACATACGACCTGCAGCTATCAACCTCTTATGGTATGAACCGAATCTTCACATAAGTAGTTTTACCAGCTTAGTCTCTGGAAAAATATAGCAAGCGCTCAAAAGGACATGGTTCGACATAAGACAGGTGAATATGCCTGCAATGTTGACATTAGTTATTATACATACAAAGGGCATCAGACCCATCCCGGTGAGCACATAAGACCTTCCACGAAAAAGTTAAGGGGGAAAAAATAATTAAAAAACGCAAAATTGAGGACGAGGAAAAAGAGGGACAATGATGAAAGGCAGTGAAGAACATGAGAGATGGTGGCAATATGCAGCCGTGGTCATAAATTGATTGATCGTACATGTCGATCTTTGAATGGAAAGACATGGGAGGCGCTGTAGAGAAATGAGATATGCAACAATGATCGCAGGCGAGGAAAATAACGTCATTGTCATAGGAACTTGGTGCGTTCAACATGGCCGCGTACAATAGGACTGATTTCGAATGAAACAAAGTATGTTCAAGGCTGAGGCGGAGGCTTGACCTATCTTGCTTCTGCTGCGTGAGACAATAAGTATCGTGGTGCGCATATGTATTCGTCGGATTTAGATAAGTCAGAACATCTGTCAAAGAAAGTGATTGGACCTGTGTGCTTCGGCTGCTCAACGCGTAGACGACGTATCAACTTGTTGATCTGAGGGCCATTGCCGATCGTGAGCAATCAGAATTCGCCGAAAAAGAAAACAACACAGAGGTTGGTAAAGAAAGAAGCAAAGATTGCATCGAATATGCCGTTAGTCGTAGCACTCTTCGCAAGTCGTCTTCTCAACTGGTTCGTGATGAGTGAGAACCAATGCTATCTATCGCTCAAAACTGAAGAGTTTATATCGTTCATCGTGAGCAACCATGGCTTTTGAAGGAAAGAGGGAACAGAAATGGGGTTACAACAAACAAAGAGAGAAAGGGACAGAAAGAGAAAGAGAGAGACAAGACCGTCCTGCACTTCTTCTTTAGCCAGATGATGTCAGTCGGATCTTCTTTCGGCTGAGGTGGCAGCAGGTACTTCGGGAGTAGACAATGCGGGCGCTTCTGGCCGTCTGCTTGCAGGATCGGTCAGGATATGTCGACTGCTGTCTCCAAAGGAGAACCTTTCTGAGGGACGAGGCTCAAATGGTCGCTCCCCAGGACCCGTTCGCCCCGCCGGCTCTGCGTGGCTCATCTGTAACGCTTGGGGTGAAGGAAGAGTCTGCCGTGGGTCGGTCGGTCTTGGAAGCTCTCTTAGTATCGGTCCGGGGTCACGAGTCGGTACCCCTCTTGCTCGTCCATGGTCGATGGGTACCATGAGCGTAACTGGCCTCCCAGGCGGCGGTGCATAGCGCAGCTCCGGATTCTGGACTTCCACGGGCCGGAGACCCGCCTGAGGTGTAAACGAAGTGCTTGAAGACATAACCCTTGGCGGGCTGGCTGGTGTTGAAGGAGCTTTCAGCCTATGAGACCCCGACCTTCGGGGAGGAGGGTATGCTTCGCCTCGAGCCTCGGCAGCTGCCTTGCGTCGCTCCGCTTCGGCTTTGCTTGGCCGGCCTCGTTTCCGGGGCGGCTCGCCTTTGGTCGTAATACTTTCCACACTCGGAGAGAGGAGCGCAGAAGCGCTGCTCTCGCTGCTGTAAGAGGCCGTACTGGCAGCTGGCCGAGGCTGGATAGCGCGTGGGGCAAGAGGCGGTTTATCCAAGAGGAAAAGCGGCCGCTTTCGCATGTGACTACCCTCGGGTTGAACTGCTGGTGGTGCAGATAACTCATGACGGGGCGGTGGAAACGGTACCAGGCCCTGATTGACAGGGACAGACATCTGTGGCTGTTGCTGTTGTTGTTGCTGCTGTTGTTGCTGCTGTTGTTGCTGCTGTTGTTGCTGCTGTTGCTGCTGCTGCTCTTGGCACATACTGTGAAAAGCGAACTGACAGGAATTCAGGGAACGGCCTGGACCAGAGTAGATTAGCAAGAGCCAGGCTGAACTATCCACTCTGACCTTGACGAAAACCTCGACACAGTGCAAATACGACATGAGACGTACGCACCCAAAAGACGAAAACAGCAGGAGACAAGCAGAGGGCCGGCATATCTGTACCTGGTGGAAGAGGAATATCCGTCCAGCTTGGGATAATATGGAAATCTTTTATCATTTGGACCAGGCGACTGGAAGGGACTCCTGCCTTCTTGAGAATCTCAGTAAGTAGAGCGTACTGGAGACATAGTCAGTATGGCAGGACGTGCGAACATTGGAAACCGCATGGAGCGTCTTGATGAATGCTTGACGATGGAAGGAGTCTGGTCTTACCCTCTCCTCTTCGGTCCATGGCCTTTCCGATATATTCGACATATCCCGTAGATCATGGAAGCGACTTTAGCTAGCTTCTTTTCCCTCCCAATCCGTCAACAAACGAAGCCAGGATAGCGTTCGCTTCGGTGCAAGTGGAGCCCAACCTAGAAAATGGCGCGATGCGCGACTACGGGTCCAACGGTCTCGAGAGCAAAACAGCAAACCGAACACGAAGAAACAAAAGAGAAATGTAAGAGAGATACCAACAGGAAACCAATCTAGAAGATGACAGAAGTGAAACAACCACAAAGCCTCCCAAGCGGAACAATGCGTCTACAGGGGCGTAAGTACAAACAAGCACGTGGATTTTCCAGAACCAATTCAGGAACTAGGCTAAGAGGGCAGCAAATGCCGACAAAGGAAACTGCTGAAGGCGATGAAGATCAAAAACAGCGGAGGATGGACATAGGTCGGTACTTCGAATAGAAGGCATGAAGTTCAGGCTCGCGTCCGCTAATAGACTGGACAGATCTCGATATATGAGGCGACGGCTAAATGACGCAAGGAGCAAAGGATATATCGAGGGATCCTCGAGACAAAGGCAGATTTGCAACTTGGGATGCTATATATCGCCAGTCGCAGCGAGAATGGTCCAAATCGCTGGAGTTGGGAAGAGACTATCGAAAACGAACGTCAAGAAATAAAAGAAAGAAGATCGATAACGACAGCAACGACCGCGACAGCGACAACAAAACAATGGGGTTGAACCGTGCTGTGGCCACCGGATAGGAGATGTCAAGAGGACCTATCGTCGTCGACGATCGACTGGATATCTGGAACAAAACAGTCTCAATGATGCATGTCGTACCAAGGACGAGTAGTTTCAATCAGAGAATAACGAAATATGACAGGGAAAGTAAAAGAATGAGAAAAAGGGGGGAAATGGGACGAAAGAAAGTCAATTAGACTGCAGGAAGCAGACAAAAATAAATCAGTCTGATTTATTTCTGCCCCGGGAATATTTTCAGACCAAACGGACTTTTCATTCGGGACAGCGCAGAAGACAGTGCAGATGCACCAGCATGCGGCCGGTTAGCAGTAAGGAAAGCTGCAGGGACTCTTTTCTCTCTTAGTTTTCCTGCGCTTGTCCTGTGAAAAGCGGCGAGATGGAGCCACAGTAGGTAGATAGTGACCAAGAGAACTTCCCGGACCAGCGAAATTAAAGCATATCTAATGTTTGCGGGACCAGCCAGCCGGGGGTGGATAGAATTGAACCATACCCTACCTAGAAGAGCATAGTGTTTCAGAAACGAATGTTTCAGATGATTCCAAGCGTCTACACTGTCGCAAGAGCGGAAAGGACGACGCCATGGGATACACGAATGTGCAGCGCACCAGACGTGGCCCCTCTGCTTCCTGCTCCGAATGAGACTAGGATTATCACGGGAAAAGAAACGTATAAAATCATCCACTCTTTGGACGCACAGTGATCAAAGGGCGACAAGAACCTGGACGGTTTAGGAAGAGAGCAGGGGTAGAAACGGCCAGCCAGACCCGCATTGAAGGCGTGATGCAACAGCACCCTCAGCCTACTGCTGTACTCCCGCACCACGGCGGCGGCGGCAAAGTCAAAGGAAAAGAACAACACACAAAAGGCAGTAGAATGAAACAAAAGCAATACAATTTGACCATGATAAAGAAGAAGAACTGGCGTGAGAAAAAGGAATCATGTCAAATAGAAAGAAAACTGGAGGGAACCCTCAACCGTCCCGCTATTAGCTAGACAGGTGCCATGACTTGGAGCAAGGGATTCTAGTAAGAGAGCAGGGCGTTCCAGCCATGAGTATCATGGACGCTAGACAATGATTGATAGGTGGACATTGCGCCCCAAGATATTGGGTCAACGCACTAGAATCGATAGGTTTTTCAGGACTGGAAGCTTGAGGAGCGAGGTTCGGGGCCTAGCTCCGAGCTGCAGGAAGTAGTGCGGTCGATCCATCCCAAAAGACAGCACCTCATCGCCCCGTAATAATAATGTTGTGCTCCGTTGAGCGCTCCATGATAATCTAACAGCTGTGACAAGTCCTGACGAAAGAAAGCAAACAATGGGTGCGCTGTGCATCGATTCAATTAAGGATTGGGGCATCTTCAAGCCATTATGGTATAGTGGAGAAAAACCACCTGGAGACCAGCATGCCAGACAACAGACGGAGTAAATGGAGGTTAGGATGGTGAAAACGGCGCTGGAAGAAGTGGGGTAGATTGTTTTGAATGGAGTGTTAATTCTGGAGGCTGGGACGGATACGAATGATGGATATTGATGGCATACTGCATGAATCGATCCGACATTCGAGCACAACAATCCATCGGAACCTGCGATCAATCAGAAAGAGTGAGACTCATACACTGGCCCACATTGGTTACTCTGTCAACAAGCTTAGGAGCATGCATAGAATATAGAGTGTGGGATTATCGCAAATACAGATAATAAAATGGCAGAATAAGCGGGCAAGTGAGAACGAGAGGAAGAAAACGACCAATAATAAGGTACGAGATGAGGAAAAGATTCCCCAATAAAGGAACAAGGTCAAGGAGATACAATGGCTCAGACCTTGGTCGAACGCTGTCATAGCGAGTGGACTTTGACACCAATGCATTCCCTTCATTGATCACTGTACATTGTAAGTGTGCCGCATCGTTGTCCTAAGAGACTCTGTAGCATGATCAACCCAGCCAATGTCGGCTCAGATTCCTTGTTTAGTGGAAATTCTAACTACTCCGTAAGAGATTGAAGCATGGAGTAAGTATGCATCGTGTTTGTTCTTGGACACGACGAAATTCGAGTGGTCAAATCAGAAAGGACGTATCCGTATTACTTGCATCTTAGCAAGCATGGAATTCATCGCATTGGATCGATAACAGGATAGTTTTATGCATGAGAATCAGCGGCGTGCAGGAGAGACAACGCCCCGCCGGTTTGATTCAACCGGCAGAAGTGTAGTTCAACATGGCAGTTTCGGGCATTTTGCATGGACCACTTGTCGATGAATGACCTCCTTTTTCCGATTCGTCATTGTTTGGGGAAGCATAACCTTCATGAAAGATGTTTCTCGATGATCTGCGCGACTTGGAATAGTTAGATCTTAACACAAACAGTAGGAGTACTTTGAGATAAACTGAGAGAGTATTAAAGTTGGTCAAGTTTCAGTGGCGCAGCCATGAGATCCTAGGTACGGGTAGTACTACGTAGGCAAGTTGAACGTACCTCGTAGAAAACAGTAAAATATGATAAATTAACTGTGCCTAGCTAAGGTAATGATGATAAGGTAATGGACGAAGAAGACAACCCCCTTAGTACCTGTACGGATTAGGTAGTATGCAACCTCAAGAAGCGAGTCAATAATACCTATGCTCTTTCAAGGTACGTATCTACATCAGGTATCTACCTTCAGCGCTTGGCTAAGGTATGACTGAAAGTAAGTTGGGTAACGTAATTTCCTTACCTACCTGACCTGCAGGTACTCCCGCCCTCAGGGTATCGAAGGTAGGTATTCCATACAAGTACCACTAGGTACCAATGCATCCATCCTGATGCATTGAAGATGTTCCAGGTTCTCACTATTGACAGTTGACATTGCCACTCTGTTACGTGGGTAGGATATACAGATTAGCCCTACGTATTCATCTCATGACCGCACAAACCAGAATGGCGCCGTCTATGGCTCATTTCTTCCCCAAAATAGGTACGTAGTTTGCAATTCATCTCGACAACTAAGGTAGGTACAGTACTGTACTGCCGGGCGGGGTGTGCAGTGGGCTCTCTTTACGTGGTAAACGTGCAACATTCATTACCCAAGTAACATTATTACAGCTCGCTGACGGATGGAGGCCAGGTATTCTTCCTTGCGAGACCTCCAGTGTCTAACTACCTAGTACCAGGTAGTAGTACTCCGTAGTAGTGACCATTATTCTTCCTCTTCTACCACGAATTACTACTTCACCATTCCCTCTTTTCCCTTGCCCATCTAGAACTCGACCACTTTCTCATCCATTTTGTTATCGGGGAGCTTCTAACGCTCTATAAATAAGAATTTAAGATCAGGATGTGAAGTCAGGAAATGACTGGCTCTTAAACGCCGAAGTCCAACTGGCATGTTTTGAGACAACAACCCCAGCTCTTGTGCAGCCACTCACACCAGTTTCTTCTGTATCCAACTGAAACACCATGCCCTCCTCGCTCATGCATAGCTCACGAATTTTTGATTTTTCTGGCCACATATTTTATGGCTGAGTCGCTCTTCTGGTTTAAAATGGAGTACTACGTACTTCAGCTCTATGACGGTTTGACCTCCGCTGCAAGTGTTTGTTCCCACTTAGTCCACTCCAAATACCCATGCATAATCGAAAGTGCGACAACAGTGTCCAATCACTACCCGCCTCAAATCGCACCACTTCGAATGAATCGCTTAAGAAGACAGAAACAATTCACGAACACGGGTCTTGTCAGAGTTCGTTGAATTTTGCACCCGCATAATCTGCTCGTTTCCCATCGTACTTGATACTGACCCGGCCGAGCAAGGTCTGCAGAAGCCGAGGGGGCCCAAAGCTGGGAGGGTATTTTCGGTTGAGGGACCAGGATGTACAACCCCCACTATGAACATACAGCAGTGTGGCTCTGCAGTCTCTGCGATCCTACGAGTTAGCCGACAATGAGAGACGAGAGGATTACATCCTAGGCAGTGTCTGGCAAAGTTCCTCTTCCGCATTACTCCAGCGCTACTGTCAGGATACTCGTTGCACATTGCTTTATGTCCCGTTTCGCGTCCACCCGGTTCGATCGTTCCATGGCCTTTGTACCTCACGTTGATTTCGCCGTGGTAACCCCAGTGACAGAAGCGAGCATGAGAATGAAATTGTGTCTATATCAGAGAGAGTTGGCACACGTCGCAGTTGTTACTGACGCAGGTTATTGTGTGCAGATCGACCGGTTGGCGTCGGACTTGTCCATCCATCGAGAAGTGCCTTTGCCAGACATATGAGAGGCGCGGGGCGCTGAGAGA